ATGGAGAGAGGACACCAGACACCAACCTCTGACCTCTACAAGCGCATATGTGGGTGAGTATACATTGCATGTGTATATATGGGGGGGGTGGAAAAGTAAGAGGGAGAGGAGTAGAAGAATCACACCTGCTCAGGCTCATACTGAGGAGCACATCCTTCTGTCCCCGCCATTCCACCTCAAATTGCTTGCCCAGAGCCCTGGGGTTGTGCCATCTCCCCTGGGAAACAAAGACATGTCTGCTCCATTTTCTGGTATGTTCCAGGCAGGGCAGCCCTCTCTACTTGGCCTCCTATACCTTACCTGCTCAGATTCATTGTACCACTGGTTCTGTTCCCTTTACCCAGGCATTCCTTCACTTCCCACCCCAGCCATGCAGAGTCCTAGGTACCCAGCCGTCCCCAAGCTGATGCAGGATCACACATCTGCTACAGGAGCTCATGGCCAAGCTGTAATCCCCACACTGGACCTTATAGGGGATCGGAGTCTGTGCTCCCACACACAGGCCAGAGACACAAACAAACTATCCAACCAATATTCCACTCTTCACCCCAGACTTCTGACACCCAAACACCTGACTAGAGCACAGTAGGTTTCTAGCCCAGCTAAGGTTCAATTTTTAATGCAGTTTCTTTCTTCTTGATGGAGTGTCTGCTTGGGGAAGAACAAAAAAGGACTCCTTTTGTTATTAATACTTGATACCAATTCCATGATAGACTAGATTAAATATGTTCTTAGTTGTATTTAAAAGAGATTTTAAAATAGATGACCATTCTTTAAAAAAATACTTTATCTGTCACTCCTTCGTTGGGAATCAATATGAAAGAATATATTCATTTATTTTTCTGAGTTATATTGCTAAGAGTTTTCTATTTCATAAGCTTCCCCAACCCTTTGAAGTATTTATTTATGTAGCTGAAAGAAAGGGACCCACATTTCTGGCAGACAGCCAGATGCAGTGAGTACAGAGGCTGTGGACCACATCAAAAGTGCCTGTGTGGCACACCTGGATGGGGTGGACCCCAGCTGGTGAGATTTGGACAACACAGCAGAAACAGAGAAAAGAAGGCTAGCTGGGTGGGTAATCCCAAAGGAGGACACTCCAGCCTGCATCCAGCGGCCCCCACCAGCTGCCTCTCTGGGAGAATTAGAAACATTTTAGAAACCTATCACCTTAGGTGTGTTTTATAAATCCCAAGCATCTGGAGGGCAGGTGGAATCTGATCAGAGCTCCAGGAGCCTAGAGAGGTTCAGAGCCGCCCCGTTCTCTGGAGGAAAAAGTTAAGCTCAGAGGGTGTTTGGGGCCATGCAGGGCTTCATAGTTTTATGTTACAGTTGCAAGGCTGACCTTATACCCTGATTCCACAGGCTTGGTTCTGGGCTACACTGCCTCTTGGTGCTGGGATTACCTCATTTCTGCCTGGCTTCGTACCCAGCTGGCCTGGTTTAATTCAGGCTACAAACCCAGGCTAATGATCATAGCAAGTTGTATTTTTGCCTCACGGATCACTAATATCAGAGTCATTGGTGCACAATGAAGAATAGATTTCCTTCTGGTGCACAGGTAACTTAGCTCTTGCAAACTTGACATAATCATTCAACTCATTGTGCAAAAATTAAAGTTGCATGGTATGTCATATCATACTGATTTGAACTAGTCTTCCAGGTAGCACACAAAGAAAGACTATATCTACTAATATGGATTTTGTTCCTTCAAACCTCACTCTGTGCATAGGGGTAGTATTATTGGGGTAGTGCACATGTATGTATGCATGTGAAGGCAAGAGGACAACCTTAAGTGTCATTTCTCAAATACCATCTTCCTTTTTTGAAACAGGGTCTCTCGTTAGCCTGAAGTTCACCAAATAGGTTAGGCTACCTGACCATCAAGCCCCCAGAGATTTATCTGTCTCTGTTTCCCCAAGTGTGCAGTACCACATGGGCCTGGCCCATTTTATGTATGTTCTGGGGCTCGAACTCAGGTCCTCTTGTTTGTAAGGCAAACACTTTCCCAACTGAGCTGTCTCCCTGGTCCCACACTGGTCTTTAACACGTATGATGTATATAGCATTAGGTATTTTAGAAAAAAACTATCTAGTTTCCTGGGTGCTGACCACATGCTTTCTAATTTATATTGCATGTGCTCTGCAGCCATGCAAAGTAAAGATGGGAAGTCCACTCCTGAGGATGGAGCAGCATGGTCTGAACTTGAGTCATTTAACCAAAGGCAGAATTTGAAACCAAGTCTAAGCCCAAAGTCCATAGTTTCAGAGACACACCCCTTATTGACAGCCTGATGGAGAAGGTAGAAATGAATCAATGAGAACCTAAAACAGACTCTAACAAGTAATTTCGAATAGGGCCAAATGTCCTTCCATGGAACCAAGAAGAGGGATTACTGTCGGGAGAGGGTCTAAAGAGATTTGGGGGAGGCTAAGGCTCTTGAGCAAACTGAGCTGGAGGCTGAACAGGCTCCATGTTTTGTGGTCCAGAAACTAGGGGGCCTTCAGGGGAGACGAGGCCACTGCTCCACATGCTTGGAAACAGCATGACAAAGATGACCTACATTGCACAGGACTTTCTCAAGTGACACTCAGGTGTTAAAGTGGCCCGACTTTTACTTCTGTTTAGGAGCACAGTCTCCCCAAGCGTGACTCACACATCATAAATGAGAAAATGTACCAGTGGGGGAAGAGAGTGCATGTGGTTCTTGTTCCCTTACTACTCCCAAACCTGCTTTCTTGGGAGGCCCTGTAGGGCCTCTTCAGTTCAGAATCCCCTTAATTAAGAGCTGGCCCTGAAGCTCCCACAAATGCTGTTCTCTTCTCTCTATGATCCAAGGTACAACAACATACATTGCAGCAGACATCCATGTAAACCACAGATGCCCACTCACATGCTCATACATGCTCCAGAGAGCCTCACCTCATTACCTGTGTCTCTACCCAACAGCTGCCAGCAAGAGACTGCTGGCAGACACTGAACTCACAGCACCAGCACCCCGTCCTAACATGAGCCCCAGTCCAGCACTCCTTTCTGAAGACGAAAGGAAGCTAGTATGTTCAGAAGGATGAATCAAACACTGGGGAAGTTACAGGGGACACAAAGGCACACCTTTGACATGGGACATGATGCCTCAAGAGAAAGTATCAGGTGTACTGGGGTAGGTGCCTCAGCCTACAAATTTGCCTCTGACCAGCAGGGGGATGGTTTCTGTGGTGGAGCCATGAGGATGGGGAGGCACAGTCTGGTGCAGAAGCACACTTTGACCCTTCCCATACCTCCCTGAACTTCTTAGGGCTAATAGAGCTACAGGCAGGAATGCCTGGGGCTGAGGAGAGCACTCCCAGGACAGTTTCAAGTTTTCCTCCAGGTCTCCTCACAGGTAGATAGGGAGCGAAGCTGGGCCAAGTGTGCCTCCAAACCAGGAACAAACGAGTTTCGAGCCTGGGAACCAATGACCTGCTGGGTTCTCATCTTGTGACCCCACAGGGGCCCCAGGAAGCATCCAAGGACAGCGCCTCCCTCACCGACCTTCACCGCTGACTCGCCTTTCCCGGAGACAAACAGCTGCTACCAGCTTCCAAACCAGGGAACTGTTGGGTTGTGTGGACGGGTGATGATGAGTCACAAACAGCATTAATCCCAAGAAACAAGGACCTGACCCCCAAGGAGGCATTCAAGAGGCCAGGGCCTAGCTTCAGGTCACTTTCCCTGACAGTGTGGACCCTACTTTAGGCAAACCAACACCTGGCCTTTTGTTTCCTAGGCTCTTGAACTTGCACTGGGAAACCCCAGCCTCCATCTCTAAAAAGAGTTCTGTCCACTTTGTCCATGTCCTAAAAGCTGGGGGGCCTTGGCAATTACCAGCAACCCAGTGTTTCATGACCCCTTTGGTTTAATGCCTCAGTTTTGGAAAGACACTACTACCCTCCAGTATCCCCCAACTCTACTTTAAGCACAAAATTTTAAGTTGCAGGAAAATAAATAAACAAACAAACAAATAAATAAATAAACATCATTGGAAAGATGTCTGGGTCACAAGTCTCTTATGTGCAAGGACGTTACTGACTGAATAAAGACATGGTAATTTCTAGAACACATGAGCGTCATTTGCTGATCTTCCTTCAAACTCTCTGACACAGTCAAGGCCACCCATTTCTTTGCTTTAGTTTCTGATGTTCCAACACTTACAGAGTCATCATAACTCAATATGAACCAATAGCATGATTCTGCAGGCATCATTTTCTAACCTCTCTAGAAAGATACTTCATGCCTGGAAGGAATTTAGGTCAGGTCCGGTCCTTAGTCCTTGGATTTGGCTTTACATCATCTCCCTGTGGGTCTCCCAGCCTTCCCCAGATGGTCCTGGGAAGCACCAAGATGGGTACCGCTGGCCTTTGGCTCCAGGATCTCCTCAGGTCACCCCACGGACTCCAATTCCCAAAGTCAGATCTGGGATATCTGCCAGGTTTCCCCACCGCGACTCTGGATCCCCAACTGACGCCTGTCTGGGAAGGCACTGGGCCCCCAGACTGGCCACCAGCATCCCCGCAGCGCCCCCGCTGCGCCGGTAGTTAGCGCACACAACTCGAGCCACTTTCTGGAAATGCTTTAGTCTCAAGCCCTGGGTGCTCAGCTCCCAACACACCGGTTGGCATCCCCCACCCCTTGCTTCCACTGCGTTCACACGTCGCCGGGTCACTGTCACCCTCCCACGGTCGCCACCCGCAGACACACGCCCTCCGCGTAACTGTTCACCAAGAAGAGCCGCCTAGGTGGTAGCCAAGTTGAGATTGCGCCTATAGGGCAGGTGGCTGGGGTCGCACGGTCTCCAGTCGCAGGCACCCGGCGCACTAGGACGGTGGCAAGGACCAGACTCGGACGCAGCACGACCCGTCCCTCCCGCGGCAGTGGCCCAGACTGTCCCTGTCTGCTCAAGGTGCACGGGATGCACGGCCACCTCGGAACTCACTGCCATCCGCCCACACCGCGCCACTCACCTCCCAGGGACCGGTGCTGTCGCGCCGATCGCGCCGCCGCGGCGACTCCGCATCTCCCGGGCGCCCGCCCGCCGCGCTCCTCTCCGGGGCGCCCGCTGTCCCTCCCGGCGCGAGGGAGGGTCGTGGGGATGCGTGGGGACAGCGAGGTCCTCGCGCCGCCGGCGAGTTCTCCCGCAGCCCGCAACCCACAACCCGCAGCCCCGCAGCCCTCAGTCTCCCAGAAGAGCAGGAAATCTGTCTGGCCGAGTCCGACCGCCTCCAGCGCTGGGCTAGATCTCCGGCTTCGGCTCCGGCTCCTGCTCCACGGCGGGGGCGGGGCCCTGGCGCTGTGAGGGGCGACGGCGACGCCTGGTGCCTGGCTCTGGGAGCGCACCGGGGGCGCCCGCCCTCCTGGGGCTGTGGCCTCTAACACTCCGAGGACGCAGGCGCGTGCCCTCTCTAGGGAGCCACTGTCCTGGCCTTCTGCCCGGACACAGGGTACTGTGTAGGGTGCCAAGGGGTGATGACTCGCAGACCAGCCGGAAAGAAAGTTTAGGGTCCCTTCCTGTTTATGTTTAGCCTTGGTCCTGGACACCAGGAAGTAGCCTGGTTGTGTATTTTGCATCTCTGTTTCTGGTAAAGCTGGCTTGGGGCATCTGGTAACAGGCCTGCTTCAGAGAAGTTGGCAGAACTGGGAAATGTCCCAAACACTCCCTCCCAGAAAAGAGTGTGCGGGCGCCCCATGGTGGGTGCTGGAGGGTGTACAATTAGTAAGAAATGTGGCAAAATCGAACACAACGGAGCAGAGCACAGTACAGGGACCTGATCTGCAGCTCTAGAGACTTAGTTCACAGTTATTTCTCTTCTATAAAGGGAACCGCCAGCTTGATACAACCCAGAGTTGAGTCTCAAGAGGGAATGATCTAGATCAGATTGAGGGGCTGCCATGTCTTGGGGGGGCTGTTCTGATTGCTAATTGATAAAGGAACCCTCAGCCTTTTGTGGACAGCACCACTCCTTGGGGTAGGGGTTGGGGGATTCCTGAACAGTATTGGAGAGCAGGCTAGATAGCAGTAGACAAGCAAGGTTGTGTTTATTCTCTTTACTCTTGACTTTGGATGGATGGCAGGAAAGAGGTGTGGAAGGGAATTACCTCACCAGGCATTTTATTACTGTTAGAGTTGCAGAGCCAAGCTGGCTTAGAAGATGACAGTTTCAAAGAGCCGGCAGTCAATGGCCTAAGTCACCTGGGGTCTGTTTGGAACAGAGCTGTAGACTGGAAGTCTGAAGATCTATGGAACCTTCCAGAATGCTAAGAATGCTCTTCTCTTCCCATGGTGCCAGAACCAAGCTCACTCTTCTTTCCCTTCCCCACACACCTGTCTCTGAGGACCTAAGGGTTTTCTTCCTTTCCTGCCTCACTCACTCCTGCTCCTGGGGGCTTCTCCAGAGCTGTGACGCCATCCGTGTGCACACCACTCAGAGGCATGTAGCCTTCCAGCAAGCTCACTTCTTCCAGCATCTTCTGCCAGCTCAGTCCCAGCTCTTGCTCTTGGTTTCTGGACCTTTACTCTGCCTCTCACCCATCTCCAAGTCTAACTCCTGCTTAGCATCTCTATGCATCTTGAATGCAGTCCATTCTCTCCCCGTCTCTGCCTGCTTGGCTATGACAGCATTGCCCCTCTGATTTCAGACCCCTTGCTTAAAAACCCCCACCTTGAGAAAAATCCTGATTAAGCGAGGCTATGCTCAGGTTGCCCACCTAAGCTCCTGCACATTCATCTAAGGCAGCCAGCCATAGCTCCTCTTTCTCAGAACTCAAGAAAAGCCCCTTCCTGCCTGCCCCCTCCCCCCATCTTGCTACCTTCCTACCAGTTGCCTTCCCAACAGCCTCACACCCCTCTTCTCTCCCACAGCCCTCATCACTGACATCACTTACTGAATTGGGGTTTGTTTGTTTGGGTTCTTTGTTTTGTTTTGTTTTGTTTTGAGGCAGGGTCTTACTATGTAGCTCCTGCTGACCTGGAACTTACTATGTAGACCAGGCTGGCCTCAAACTCACAGAGATCCTCGTGCCTCTGCCTCCCAAGTGCTGGGATTAAAGGCATGAGCCACCACCCCCACCTCTTTTGGTGTCTGTCATTTCTTCCTTTGCCCTAAGACTGGAAGTGCCATCAGCCCAGGCTGTGCCTGTCTGTATCCTTACTGCTGCAGCATGAGACACACCTAGCAGCCGGAGCATGCAGTGAACAAGTGGGCTGGCAGAGCAAAGGAGGACAGGACCCAGCAGGCATCAGCAGGCAGCCTTGTTATCTGCCCAGAGCCCAAAGGGTAACTCATTCCTGAGTATGCCCTCACAGAACAGCCCAGGTTGGGTGTGGTCAAGTGGCCCAATGACATCACCAAGCTCTGGATTTTATTGCCATTAGAGCTGCAGAGCCAAGCTAATGTTAAAGCTGATGATGGTTTCAAAGCCCTGATAAGCTTGTTAACACAGCAGGGTGGGGAGGCAGAGACTGCTAGCCACCAAGAGGGGAATGGATTGCCTTAGTCAGACATCTGCTGTTGGAACGTGACAGCCTTGAGAACATGATGAGGAGGCAGATGGCTCTTCTCTCCCAGTAATATCTGCCCTGTTGGACTCCAAATGTTATTCTAGGAATAAGTGGTGTCCCTTAGCATCCTCTGAAGTCTACAGACATCCTGCCATTCAGACACATGTCATCCCTCATTATCTTTGTTCCTCATTTGGGCTCCTATTAGAATCATCTAATTCCTTCCTCTCATCCTAGACTACAAGGACCTTCCTGCCTCATGCCATCCCAAATGCCCCATCACTCCTGTCTTTTAGTACCTGAGCCATAGTCCTTCTCTATCCATAGACACCTCTGCCTTACTGAACCCCTCTGAGGCCTTTCATGTACCCTTCTGCCTCCTGAGTTCTCCTCCATATCTGGCTGTGCCATTTTTTCCTTGGAACGTAATACCATCCAGGCAGGATTCCCAGCACTGTATCATTACCAGATCACGTGTTCTGTCTTCATTGCACTCAAGGACTTGACTCCTGGGTTTCTCTTCAGTAACTGTCTTAGTTAGGGTTTCTATTGCTATGAAGAGATACCATGACATGGCAACTCTTATCAAAGAAAACATTTAATTGGGGCTATCTTATAGTTTTAGAGGTTTAGTCCATTATGGTCATGGCAAGAAACATGGTGGCATGCAGACAGACATGGTGCTGGAAGAGGAATGGAAAATTCTACATCTTGATCCACAGGCAACAGGAAGTAAACTGTCTATCACACTGGGCATAGCTTGAGCACATAAGGCCTCAAAGCTCATCCTCATGGTGATGCACTTCCTCCAACCAGGCCACACCTACTCCAACAAGACCACAGTCATAATAGTGCCATTCTCTATAGGCCCAGAATCCAAACACGTGAATTCATGGTCACCATACCTCCCCAAACCACCACATTCCACTTTCCTGGTTCCCATAGGCTTGCAACCATAACATAATGCAAAATTCATTTAGTCAAACTTCAAAAGTCCCCATAGTCTATCACAGTCTCAACAGTGTTCACAAATCCAAAGTTCAAAGTCTCTTCTGAGATTTATGTGATCTCTTAACTGTAATCTCCTATAAAATGAAAACAAAAAAAGCAGATCACATACTCCCAACATATAATGGCACAGGATATATATTACTATTCTAAAACAGAGGAAAGGGGGGATAGTAAATGAATATTGGACCAAAGCAAGACCAAAACCCAGCTGGGCAAACTCCAAACTCTGCATCTCCATATCTGATGTCAAAGTACTCTTCAGATCTCCAACTCCTTTCATCTTCATTGACTGTAACATGCTTCTTTCTCTTGGGCTGGTTCCACTCCCTGCTAGCAGCTCTCCTTGGCAGGTATCTCATGGCTCTGGAATCTCTGACATCTTGTTGTCTCCAAGGCAATCCAGCCTTCATCTTTACAGCTTCATGCAATGGCCTCTGGGCTTCCATTTGGGGACACCCCTGACATATGCCTGGCCTTCCCAGCTTTCCTTAGTCATGGAGGATGATTCTGTAACCCCTTTCTTTTTTCTTTGATTCTAAAGCTGGAGCCACATGATTGAAGCTGACAAGTTCTGCTGCTTGTTGGGGCTGGAACATGGCCCCTTTGTTCAATAACATCTTCACCAGATTTCTTTTTTCATGATTTCCTTCACTGCCTACACTTGGCTGTTTTGGAACTTGCTCTGTAGACCAAGCTGGCCTCAAATTCAGAGCTCTGCCAGCTTCTGTCTTCTGAATGTTGGGATTAAAGTTGTGTGCTACCACACTGAACTGTAAGGTTTTCTTTAATTTCTTTTTACAAGTTGGAAACTTATCTGGATTGGATCTTGCCTTGAAGGCACCAATACCTTCATTACATTTCTTAATTTGTTTATCTCCTTTAACACAGGATTCAGTTCCATTCCACCTCCTAGTGCCCCTTTTCTCCTCAAATTGCACATTTTGTATTTTTCCTTTTTCAGCTTGCTCCTTTTCATTATAAATCTCTTCACTAGCATTAACACTAATAAACACATAAAATGGTCTATAATAGGCTGTTTTGAGATATCTTCTGCCAATGGAATTAATCCAAATCTCTTCACTTTTGCCTTAGGCAGACTCTTCAGACAAGGGTAAAAAGTAGCCAATTTTCCACCAAAATATCACAAGAAAAAAATCTCTAGGCAACATACCAAAATTCTTCCCCTCTGAAATATCTTGATCCAGGCCCCCACAGTTCATCAAATCGCGCTCAGCACCACTATCTTCCAATGTCCTACTAGTATGGCCCATTAAGCAGCACTTATAGAATTTAACTGCTTTTCTAATCCATTGTTCCAAGGACCATATTCCTTCTAACAAAAACATGGTCAGGCCTATCACACCAATACCCCAGTCCCTGATACTAACTTCTGTCTTAGGGTTCCTGTTGCTGTAAACAGACACCATGACCTCATCAATTCTTCTAAAGGAAAACATTTAGTTGGGTGGCTTGCTTATAGTTCAGATGGTTAGTCCATTATCATCATGGCAGGAAGCAAGGCAGCATGCAGGCAGACGTGGTGCTGGAGAAGGAATTGCAGGCTTTTACATCTTGACCCACAAACAACAGGAAGTAATCTGAGACATTGGGTGTGACTTGAGCATATATGAGACTTCAAAGCCCACTCCCACAGTGACACACTTCCTCTAACAAGGCCATACCCACTCCAACAAGGCCACACCTCTAATAGTGCCACTCCTTACAGGCCAAGCATTCAAACA